AATACTTTATTAAAAATTAGCTCATACAGTTCTTACTGATTCAGAGCAGAATTGTTAAAAGGTCCTAAAAAATCAATTAACACTACCAAGGTTACAAAGCATAGGATTACATTTATTTTCTAAAGTATCAAATGCATATTCTCCTTGTAAACTAAAATTGAAAGTAAAGAAAGCCGGATGCAGTGACGCATGCCTGTATTCCCAGCAGCTCCGGAGGCTGAGGTAGGAGGATCTTGAGTTCAAAGCCAGCCTCAGTAACAGCAAGGCGCTAAGCAACTGAGTGAGAACTTGTCTCTAAATGAAATACAAAAAAGGGCTGGAGATATGGCTCATGGGCCCCAGAGTTAAATCCCCGGTACTCCCCCCACAAAAAAAGAAAGGAATAAAATCTCAAATCAGAGAGCTTTCCCTAGATCTGTGCCATAATGCTTCTGAAATTTAAATCTGAGGCACCCCCCAAAAAACCAACTGGGTGATGCTCCAAATCAACACATGTGAATATTCATAGACATTGCATTTGCCAAGCAATTACTAAAGTTGATAAGGATCTGTTATAAGTATGAACCTCATGGGTACTGTACGAGATAGAATTCCTCCTCCTCCCAGTACTTAGAACCTCTTCATGCTACCCTATGTGGCAAAAGGAAATTGTGTGTGATTAAATCAAGGATAGTGGGATGAGGAGAATATCCTGGATTATTCAAGAGGGTCCACTGTAATCACAATGTCCTTATAGAAAAAGAAGGCAGAAGGGTCAGAGAACAAGATGACAATGGAAGGAGAGGCAGAAAAAAACTGGAAGATGCTATGCTGCTAGACTTGATGATGAAGAAAAGGGCCAGAGTCAAGGAAGATAGATATCCTCAAGAAGATGGAAAAGGAAAACAGATTTTCTCCTCCAGCCTCCAAAAGGAACCAGCTCTGCTGACAACTTGGAGACTAATGTTGAACTTCTGACTCCAAAATTAGATAATAAATTGGGTTTTAAGTCACTGAGTTTGTGGTAATTTATTAAAATACCAACAGAAACTAAGAGAGGTACCATGAAGGGAATAAGCCTCACAATTTACTGGGGCAAATAAGACATAGTAGCAAAATGGAAAGTGGCAAGTGAGTTAGAAGGTAGACATGAAAAGCTATAAGGATATCACTGCTAAGGTGAAAATTACTGCTAAATGTGTACAGACAGACTGAAATACCAAGCTAAGGAGCTTAAAGTTTCTTTTATAGAAAACGGGAAAACCATGATGATGTCTTAAAAATACATAAATAAAGCTGTTCAGGAAGTAGCACTCTAAAACAGATTCACATTTCAGAAAGTGAGCTGGTAGATTATGCAGCTAAGACTGTAGAGTAACATTCACAGCAGACTACTTTAAAAAATATTACAATAACCTCAGCAGAAAGTAACAAGAAGCAAAAATAGGAAGATAGTGGCAAGAATGGAGAAATTAAGATATAGCAAACAAGGCAAAAGATTAATAGTGGTAGGACAGGAGGGAAAGGATAAAGCCAGAGTTATCAAAGAGACTTCAAAAGGAAATGATTAAGAGACTGTAACTGACAGTATCATTAAAATGAAAAACAAAATACAAAAGATGTAGATAACATGGATCAGATCTCGCATTCAAACCTGGGCAGCCTTCTCAAAAGTGAAATCTACTGAGAGGAAACATGAGTTTAATGAAAAACTGTTTTTACTCTACATATTAATATTAAGAAGCTTCTAATAACAAAAGTATGTGTTACAACATTAAAC